AAAATAAGTGATGGGGAATACAGCTAATTGCTAGCGGGTCCAATCGCAATATTAATCTGTCGGTCACTGTAGGACCAGACTTCATCACAAGCTTCTCGTATCGTCAAGCGCAGCAGTCGTCCTATCAGCATGTCCAGCAGGCGTACCAACAGCAGCATCAAACGCAGCAGCAGCAGCAGGCCCAGCAACAAAAACAACAAGCCCAACAAGCCCAACAGTCCCAACAGTCTCAACAACAAGCTCAGCAAGCTCAGCAGACGTATCAACACCCTCGCTATCAACAGCCGCAGCAAGCCCAGCGTTCCCCGTACTCGCAGCCTCAGCAGCACCAATTCCAGCAACAGGCCTACCAGCGGCAGTATGCGCAGCCCCAGGCGCAGTACCAACAGGCGCAGGCCAATCAATACCAGCAGTCGCAGTACCACCCGCAACAGGCGCAATATCAACAGGCACACGCACAACACGCACAACACGCGCAGGCGCAGGCGCAGTCGCAGTCGCAGTCCCAGCCACAGTCGCAGCACAAACCTCCATCACACACCCAAGCCCAGCAACCCTCCGCCACCCCGTCGACGATAGCTACTGCCGACCTGGTGCGTCCGGAGTCTAAATCGGAACCGAAGCAGCCGAAGAAACAGGCCAAGCCAACGGCATCCCCCGCGACTGCCCCCAACCACGTCAATGGCCAGACGGTCTTCCCGGCGACAACCCAAAACACCCAGACTTCGAGTGCTACAACCGCCCCGACGGCGACCCCCGCGCGTCCAGATCAGCCGAAACCGGCGGGGAGCGAACAAACCCCCACGCCGCGTCGTCGCGGCCGGCCCCGCAAGTCGGAGATCGATCCCAATGCGCCCCCGAAGCCGAAGAAACCCAAGAAGACTGCCGCTGCGCAGGCAGGTGCCCCGGGCGTGCCCGGGGCGCCAGGGGCAGCTCCCGGCACCGCAGCGGCCCCGGGCACACAGACGATGCCTCCCACCACCGGACCCCCAGGTGCACCGGGCACTGCTCCCGCTCCGGGAACGGGCCCCGCCACCATCACCAACCCCGACGGCACCGTTGTTCCAGTCAAACGGCGTCGCGGTCGGCCACGAAAGTCGGAGATTGATCCCAATGCCCCGCCGAAGCCGAAGAAGCCGCGCAAACCAGCTCCCTCGAAAGAAGGCCCGAAACGGCCTCGCGGTCGACCCCGGAAGGCTGATGTCCTGGCTCGCAAGGCCGCCGAAGAAGCGGCGGCGGCGGCGGCAGCAGCAGCAGCAGCGGGGCGGACAAGCTCAAGCCCTCGGCCAAGGGACAGGGTCAGGGACTGCCTCATGCACCGGGACAAGGGCAAGTTTCTGGACAGGGTCAGGGATCAAGGCAGCGAACCCTTCAAACCTCGGTGCAGAACCAGATGCAACCCGGA